GACAGAGGGTGCTTTGTGTTTAAACTTCTCAAAATGTTCAGCACACTTTTCCTTTAATCGATGACGTTGAGAGCTCGCGTCGTTCAACTAATTAAGTTATTGGTTATTGGTGAAGAATATAATTTTCGGAATATGTTTACTTGTACTGAGTTAGCCAAATGCTTGAACAAGTGCTTACAAGTAAATTTACTTCTGAAGAAAGTCTGGTGCCGGTTTCATTACGCAGGCGATGTACTTGTCACGAGTACGTTCGCTATACTTGTCATCGTTATCCATTAAGTATTGATACAGTCAAAGAACTTCTGAAAAAGAACAGCTCATATGACTATGGCATGAAAATCAGAATTATTTCACNATTCATTTCTCGTATAACAGTTAATACTTGTGAATACCTTTCTATATAAATTTATTCATCTTATTGAATGGTCATGATGGAAAACACAACGACTAGAGACTTTTCTTGCATTGAAAACATTGACAATTATTACTATTGTACAAGAATTCGTCTTCTCGGCTTAATTGTTCTTATCATATCTGGCACTACTCTAGTATACAATGTACACTTTATCTGTTGGATGTCTCGTCATAAACGTATTCGTGCTCGATATCATACACTTATTCTCAGCATGTTTATTAGTTCAATTTGTGTCACGACTATCAGCATACCACCTATCGTAACCCAATTATTTCTCTGTCGCCGGTTTTGTTCACGTCTAACTTGTAAAATCGAAGCGTTTTGGTCCTACCTACACATATATGCGAGCTTTTACATGCTCTTCCTATTTTCTTTTTCTCGATACGCTTCCGTCTTGCAAATACGATTTGTAGAGAAGATGTTCAAGTACAACAACTGTGGGTTTATTTTACTCGGTTGGATTACATCCGTTTTTTGGGCGGTACTTCCACTTATTGGTTTAAACTCGTATAGACACGACGGTTTGGGCATATCCTGTAGCCTTGATTGGACTGACTCATCATTCGCCAGCTATCTCTTACTATGTCTCCTGTTCATATTCGTTTATTTTATCCCGATGGCATCGGTTGTCTATTTGAATATTCGCGTTTACGTTCATAGTAACGGGAGGCTGCTTCGTATTCAACCGTTAAATATGAAAAATACGCATCTGTCAACAGCTTTCATATACTCTGGGAGTGGCGATAAAGCAGAAGTAAAACAGACGTCACCTCTCCAATGTCAATATCTACGGCCTGTTCGCAATTTGGCAAAAGCCAACAGATTACGAGCTGATCGTCGTTTGGCTCTTACCACCCTGTTAGTTGTTAGCGGATATCTAGTGAGTTTGGCACCGTACGCTATGATCTCGTTCTTACAAGTATTTCGCATAATTGAATTATCTCAAAATTCTCTCTTAATCACTTTATTCGCAATTCTAGCCAAACAGAGTATGATTTTGAACCCAATTATTTTTATGCGAGCAATAAAAACGAACGAATTGATGCCGGTATTATTCAAGAGATTTAAAGGTCGTGGATT